TTTTTCCCTGCGTCCATTCCTTTTTTTTTTGTTCCTTTTTTTTTCTTATGTTCCTTTTTTTTCTTGTTTCTCTTCATTCTTTTTATTCCTCCATAGGTTACCAGTAGGAGCCTTCGTATTATAACACTATAACATTTATATTAATCACTAAAGAAACTCAATTATTTTTTAACACAAAACCACAAATATTACATATAAAAACTAAAAGAAAATGGACACGTGGTAAATCCTAATCTTATATAATAAAGTAGGGTTCCTCCAAACTCATGCTTTAAGGAGCTGACACGTGTCATCTCTACTTGTGACATGTGTCATCTCTTTTAAAATCAAATATTTCAACATCTATTTTTATAAGTTCAAAAAATTAATAGACTTTACAATGAATTACTTAACCATTAAACACTATTTAATTGATTACATATAAATAACACACATTTTACTAATTTAGTATAAGGGAAATTTATTGGGTATGCCATTTTGGAAACTCAATTTTGTGAAACTGCCATTATTGAAAATGTCTTTCAAATCATGCCACAAAGCATAAAACTTGGACGATTTTGCCCTGGACATTGGAGAGAGAAATTTTGTTTTTTCTGTTGGCAGCAGTAGCCATTAATTGCTGGGATGTAACCTAATATCTTGTGGATAATAGACCATATATGTCAAAAATAGCGGACGAGTAAGTAATATATGATGGACAAAATATATAAAGTAGATGTGGTCCATCGAAAACTCACTTGACAGATTTCAAGAGACAACTCCGATGTGTGTCCTCTGACATGTCGTTAGTAAAATTTGTAGTCCAACAAGGTTTGTCTATGCTTTCTTAAACCGGTGAAAGACAAACACAAAAATATGAGTTAGAAGAAAATATGGACAACTGTGTTGATGGACATATTGGATGCAGTAGATCTGGTCTATCAAAACTTAAATTGAGAAGTTTTGAGAGACAACTCTTGTTTGGGTACCAAGACCAGGAGTTTGGTCCTCCACCACAAACGTTCTATAGAAGGACACAAATAAAGTTTTGATTTATTTAGGGGCACAATGTAAACCAGATCTGTATAAATTGGAGGCTGCTAATGGAGAATAAGTAGAGAGATTTTGTGGAAATTGTGGGTGGTGAAAGAGCAGAGACAAAAAAACGATAGACAAAATCAAAAAACAAAAAAAGAGATCTCGTCCACAAGAAGAGATCTGGTCCACTACATCTGAGCCGCCACAACAAGATCTGGTCCACTACATTGGTTCGCCGAATCTTGTCCATCTACAGAAAAATGTATTGTCTATAGTGTAATAACCGCATCACTTGTTTCATCGTCTGGTTGGTCCACCAAATCATGTCACCAGAACTGGTCCGCCGGTTTTTGTCACCTAGAACAAGTCTATCATAACTAGTTTTTGTCCGCCTGCCACATATTTGCCGGATCTGGTTTGCCACAACTAGTCTATCGTAATTGGTCTATCTGGTTCGCTGAATCTGCTCTGCCGGAGCTGGTTTAAGTTCGTAGGAACTGACTATGGTCCGCCTGAACTCGTCCGCCAGATCTGTTCTATCGGAACTCGTATTTCTGGTTGGTCGAAACTGGTCCGCCGAATATGGTCTGCTTGAACTGGTTATAGTTCATCAGAACTGACTGTGGTCTGCCAGAACTGACTGTGGTCTGCCAGAACTCGTCCGCTGGAGTTATGATCTGTCGGAACTGGTCCGTCGAATCTGGTCCGTTGATTCTGGTCTCCCAAATTTGGACCAGAATTGACTATGGTCCGCCGGATCTGGTCTGTCGGATCTGGACCGTCGAAGTTTGTCCGCAGGATTTGGTCCGCCGGAGTTCGTCCGTTGGATCTGGTCTGCTGAAATTGTTTGTTGTTGGAAGAAGAAAAAGAAGATGAAGAAGAGAAAGAGATAATGCAAAAAAAAAAAGTCACGACACAAAAACAGAGAAGCCAATTCGTTTAGGGGTACATTGGTCTTTTTACATGTCTCTTGTGGCAGGCGGGAGAAGAGGTTTTTGTAAATGGCATTCCTTAAGAGTTTTGACACTGTACATGGCATAAAGAACAATTTTCTCTTAGCATTCATAAGGTATGATAAGACATATATTTACCCTTTCTTATGTTTTGGTCTATTCGATAAATAAAATAGCATATTTAATTTCATACTTTTTAGTTGTCTTATTTTTCTAATATTTTAATTATGTATATGAAAACTATATTGTTTGAAATCATATATATATATATAAAAGTATTTAATTTTTGGTCCATTTGGTATTTTTTTTTAAATATAATATTTATTTATAAAAAAAACAAAAAATGTAGTTGACAAAAAAAAATGTAACACATTTAATCATATACATTAATTCATACTTTAAGTCTATACTTTACTACTAAAGTAACTGAAATTACATAAACACTATTTAATTGATTACATATAAATAACACACATTTTACTAATTTAGTATAACATAGCATTCATAAGGTATGATATGACATATATTTACCCTTTCTTATGTAAACTGAAATTACATAAATTAAAAATTTGAATATTTGTTTTCTCCATTCAATTTCCATTTAACACATTATAAAATTCCAATTATAACTCCTCTAATTTAATTATTTTAGAAATGTAACTTGCATCACTTCTTATCCTATAAATAATCATTCTCACATTCTCCACCATATCTCATGTCCTAAATAAATTCTTTGTTTTTTAATTTTTTTGCATGGGTTAAAAACTCAATTAAGATATCATTGTAAGGGCTTGATTATATATTTGGTTTAAATACATCTTACTTTTCCAATTTATTTTTTCTTTTTCTTATATTTTTAAATGTATAATACATACGTATAATAATATATTTAAAAATATATATTTTCAACTTTGTAGGTTTTCAAACCTTATTTAAATTTAATACATATGTTGTTACATTCATAATATGTCCATTCAATTCGTATATATATATATATATATATAATTATTTATTTATACATAATTTAGTTGTCTTATTTTCTATTATTTTAGTTTTTATAGGATTATTACATTATTAGAAATGATTATATACTATTTTGATTTCACAATTTCAGTATGTGAAGAGTTTTATAAAAACAATTGTATAATTGAATGGAGTTTGTTATATGGTTTCAATATAAAAATTATAACATTCAATACTAAAGTTTTTTAGTTTAGAAATGAGTTAACTAAATTTCAGTACAATATATATTATTATGTCAAATTTGAATTTCATTTTTTATGTTTTCTAGGCCACTACACATCTTCCTAATTAAAATCTTAATCTTATTTACATATTTATTTAATGCAAGAATTCAATAGTGGAAATAGTGAAGCATTTCAAATTATCAACACTTATAATCAGTTTAATTAAATGATTTAATTATATATATGTTTGTAAGTGAATTTAGCTATGTTAGAGCATTTTAATAAATGCGAGTGGTGGAGCATATCAAAGTATTATTATGGTTATGAAATGATATTAACCTAGGCTAGTAAGATATTTTTATATAATTATTTTTGTGATGGAGAATTAAGATATTATAATATTTGTGTGGTGGAGAGCATCAACTATATAGTGTTATTTGAAAATTTATTTGTAAGTGTCTTCCTTCCTATTTATTCAACAACCCATTTGCATAACATATATAGGAATTTAACTCTCCTTTAATTGGTCCAATTGACATCTTTTCTTTTAACAAAAATTAAATTGTATTAAAGGATAACAATAATAATTCACAACATGTGTGTCATGAATTTAACATTTAGACTTCATATTCCTCACTATTCAGTTTTGTTTTGTAATATGTCAAACATTTCCAATTTAAATTTATTATCAATATAAATGACTTTCTACTTCTTCCATTCAACTTTGTTTTGTAACATTTCTTCCAACTTATACAATATCAATTGTCTTAGAATTAAGAAAAATTAAGAAAGGTGTCTTATATTGTCTTAGAATTAGCCACTATGCTTATAACACAAAAGAAAGTGACATAGTTATAAGGAATTTCAAAAATACCCCATTGCAAGTACCAATTTTCAAAAATACCCCTTCTTTCAAACTTTATCAAAAAGCCACCAAAATATTCAAATTTATCCAAATATGTGTATAATCTTATAAATATATACACGAATAACTTTTATATGAGTGTAATATTTTTGTATATTTCATAAATACCTTATAGAAAACCCTTTAAAAACCCTTTAAAAACCCTGCAAACCCTTTAAAAACTTTGTAAAAACGATTTAAAACCTTATAAATTATTTGGATAGAATCTCTCAGTAGTAGTTATTATCTAAAAGTACCTTATAAACCATATAACTCTTTATATTTTTCATATTTAAAAAATGGTATTTTTGAAAATGGATAGACAAAGAATATTTATCAAAAATATGGATAGACAAAAAATGGTATTTTTGAAAATGGATAGACAAAGGGTATTTATCAAAAATTCTCTAATTATAAATACATATCACTATTCATATATCTTTTGTCTATCTCTTATAATCATCATTTTTTACAAAAAAATGGTCTTAGGTAACATTTTACATTTATTTTAAAAGTAGTTTGTCATTTTTAATGTATATCTAATCATAAAAGATTGCATAATTTATAATCTTAAATTTCACCCACGCATCGCGTGGGACTCTCCCTAGTATAATATAAAAATGGAGGGAGTATTATTTATTAGTTATGAAGAAAATATTTTCATCCATTTTCTGAAACTAATCTACCATTATCAAATCAAATAGATTTCGCTGTTTCAGATTGTTAATTTGTTTGAGCTTAAAAGAAATTACGGGTTGTGATCACAATTTATTTTTTTTTGTTTTTTGGGTGAAGATTTTCCGATTAAGTTTGAAAGTTTTGTTAATGCAATTTAAATGTCAACAGTTTTGCAGAACTTATAGAGATTATTGAAATATATTTTTCTGTTTTAAGATTGTACAGAAAATTAAAAGAGCTTCTTAAATTTACAAAGATATATACAAAGTAAACCACTTGCAAGCGTTGGATATGAATGAAAATTAGAAGTTTCAACACAAACAATCAAAGAAGAAATTGGTTAAAACATGAAAGTTAAATAATCTGAAAAACAATTCTTTACAAAACATACAACATGACATTTTGTCTCAACGTCTCTCTTGATAATGTTACAAATCAAGATTCTTCTTAGCAGCTAGCTACTGATCACCAACGCTTCGAATACGTTTCTGCAGATGTTCCAAGCTCTCAACTCTACGCATCGAAGCTGTTCTGTTCATCTTGCAACCAATCAAGCCCTTGCTTTTGTTGCCAGAGCTGACTGGCTCTGGTGTGGTCACATGGCTGCTTGTTGTGTCTAGAGAATTTGATGTCTCTGTAGGAAGAGAAACAGTTGTACCAATTTGAGGAATAGTGTGGAACATTGGGTTGAAACCTGTGAGTCTCTTCACTGTCTCCTCAGCCATTTTCACCTAAGAAAATAAACATGTTTTCAAAAGCCTTATATCGCTTTGCTAACCGAAGTTTCAGTAGAGAGAAGAAAACGAATGCTACCTTTGCTCGTAAGGTCTCGATATTGGCTTTCAAAACTCTGTTTTCTACAGCTGCGTCATTGAATGTTTGAGTTACATCAGTGAGACCTTTCATGAGCTTTGAATTCTCTACACGCAGCTGTGAAACCTATGGAGATTGTAACAAGTGAGCTAAAGAAAGATAAAGGAGAAAGGATAAGAATGCGGCGCGATCAACATACTTGTGTCTCTAGCTCACTCAAGTGTGCTTGCTTTCTTCTTCTAGACCTTCTAGCTGATTCTCTATTAGAAAGCATCCTGTAACAAAACACATATTCATGTTCATTTTTCAAATCAAGATTTTGTCTTGTCAGAGTATATTTTATTACCTTTTAACGCGTTTGACATTAGTTGGGTTCATATTAGTTTCACCATCAGCTTCTTCTTCATCACCAGAGAGCTCAGACCCACTTGTTATAGCACTGCTCATCATTGGTGAAGCTAGACAAAAGAACGGTCAACTAGCATGAGCTACAAGAATCTTGGAAACAAACACAACACACTTAACATCTTCTAAAAATACAAAAACCATCAAGAGCATAAGTAAAGACCTTTGGAAGAAGCTAGAGAGCCTTGTTCTGATGTATTAGTTGTATATACTCCTCCATTGTCAGATCTACCAGAAGTATCCTGAGGTTTGATGAAAGATCCCTATCAAGTTTTCAATATTAACACCACAAAATCAATTCAACTAAGCAACTATTAAAAAGTATAATCCTAAACAAGATAATGTTATATCCTATAATAAGATTCACAAACTCAAAAAGGACAAAACAAGTTTAGTTCTCAGTTTCAAAGACTCATAAACTTAATAGGTCAAATCTAAAGATCAAAAAGGTTTGATTTTTATAATCTACAAAACAAAAAGATTTGATTTTTCAGAATCTACAAATTATAAAAGTTTGAGTTCTTTAAGCAGAGAGAGTATAGTTTATTGTACCCTTTTCATGGCGACAGCAGCACAAGCAAGATTGAGTTTACTTTTCAGAAAAGCTCTGTATTCCTCTGAATCTACCGGAACATTCGGAGGAGAAGAGACTGAAACACCACAAACCGTCGTGGTCGTGGAGTCTCCGGCATTAGCGTCGTCGTCTGCGGCGGCGGCGGAGGTTTCTTGAATGAAACGATGGAATGCCCATTCAGAGGCACTGCGATTCATCGCCGTCGTCGTAGTTCCATCTACCGCCGACCAGTTAATGTTACCGGAGATGTCTTCGCCGGAGAAAACTTTTTCCATGTTTTTGGAGTTTGTTGTCTTTTCTTTATTTAGCTTTTTTTTCTTTTTTTGGGTTTCAACTTCACATTACAGTTTCTTCTTATCCGATTGGGCAGTCTTTTTCCTATAATAATATGTTCTTTTTAATATTTCTTTTAATATTTCTTTTAATATGGTCAAAAAAAAAAAATATGTTCTTTTTAATATTTCTTTTAGATATTTAATTATCAGGTTATTACACACAATGGCCCCGACAAGAATAGTGTGTTCCCATTCAGACCAAAAGTTTTTGATTTATTCTGTTTAGGTCATACGTACTTTTCTCTATTTTATTACCGTCTTATAATTTAAATTTTACAAATTCAAAAATTTAAAAACTTATTAGAAGTTCTTAATTTTATCCCAATAGTAGAACTTTGTTAGAGATTCTTAAAAATCACATATTTGATAATTTATGGCATGGATAGAAAAACACAAAAAAAAATGCTATACAAAATTACTTTAACAAAATGTAATACCGAAAAGAAATAGTAATATAGAAAAGAAACTGGGCTAAGTGTGACACCAAGCAAGGTGCTCAAGAGAAACATATCAAAGAAGTCCAAGCAAGGTGCTCAAGTGAAACAGATACAAGAAATTTGCAATTTAAAAGCTGCTTCATGGTGAGGTCAAAGCTTTGAATTGCATTGAAGAGCACAACAGATGTAGTATTATTGTTCACAACGCCTTTTCCGAACAAAAGACTGTAAAGCATAGGTGTCTCATCTTGATTGAGAACCTGAAGCACAAAGGAGCAACAATTTTTGTTAATTACATTTTGATTTTGGCTTTGTAGGTATATTTGCCAAATATGATTATATGGAATGTGCATACATACGGGGGATCGGTTTTAAACACCACAAGAATATAAATGATCTACAACTACAGCCTCACGCTCACTAAAATTCCCTTAGAAAAAATCCGAGCATAAAATCTCACCACCTTCACAACCATCCATAACAATAAGTACGAAAACTGAATCCTTATAAGCCCCCTTGATTTGGACAACATTAAGGGTCTCCGGAAGACGATACATGATCCAAACATCACTCTACACATCATCTTAGTCTTCTCGGTATACTACAGTTTATTACTACTGTTTATGGTATTGTTGATTTCTACCACTTGTGTGATTTACTGATTTATAACTATTATGACCGTCAACTATTTGTAAGATATTACCTAATGCACATAATGTAAAACTCTAACACTAGCACAAAATGATACTATGTATGCACAAGATAGATACGTAAACACATTGTATTTTGTTTTATCGGTTAGCTTTTTTAAGGAAAACTAGATTTTAACCCGTAGTACACCGCGGGACAATATTCTGAACTGTATTTTTATTAATATTGTTTGATATATAAGAGTGTATTACTGTATTTTGATTGTTAATTCTTTCATATAACCCGTAAAATATTGTATGATAATTTATCTTTTATATAATCATAATTTGATCATCTTAATTAAATAAGTATAATATTTAAAATAATGAAATGATGTTGACATAACATTTTCGTTTAAATAGTATAGTTTCTTATTAAAATATTTGTTGGTTATACTATAGTAGACAACCCGTAAAAATATCCATAATCATAATTATCCATAATCATAATTATGTAATTTATAACTTGTTCTATCACATGATCCGTACTACACAATTACCAATAATACTTTAATAGATACATTTTCTGTATCGATTAATATACATTTGTTTTCAAAAGTTCATATTTCAACATCTGCGGAAAAACAATTTGTATTATTATGATACATATGTTATATGTAAGAATATAAATTTTAAAAACAACTAAGATCATTTAAAGATATTTAAGAAATTTTCAGTTTATTAGGGAGATATTTTAGGAAATTTTGTTAAATGTAATAAATACTAATTTCTAATTTTGTAATTTTATTATGATTTAATTACAAAATTTACTCTAAACTTTTATTATTTAATTAAATGGCCTTGGTTTAATTATGTAAATATTATAAAATAAAAGGGTAGAACACAAAAGGTACTTCAAAAATGTTAATATAGATACTTACTCTATACCATTTTATTTAATGTTTAAGGTTTTAACATAATTTTTTTATAAATTGTATTAGTTGTATTTTTAATAATAAAATATCATTTACTTTCTATCTAAACACTATCTAACCAATAAGAAAACTCAATGGAAATAATTAATTATCTTTACATTAAAAATGTAAAATATTTCAGAAAGTTTTGTCAAAATATTACTTATTGTGAAACAAAAAAGTGTCATGATTGTGTAACTTTATTAAAATAAAACTATAACCAAGATTCTGATTATTACAAAGGTTCATCCACTTTTCAATTAAGTAGTATAAAATAATGTAAATAACTTTATTAATAACATATTAAAAACTACAATTTATTACAGAGTTACTCAACTGATAATGACTAAGATGATCGTAAATACAGTCTTTTTATTTGACTTCATTTTCTACTTCTTAGTTCTTAGTTCTTACATACTTTTGAGGCTTCTCTTTACAAAACTAAATATTGGGATAAGTTAATGAAAACATGAGACTATGAGGAGCTTAAAGCAATATTGTTGAAGCTACCACAAAACTACACGTAATAGTATATTTTTTTATGTCTTATTGGATAAAATAATTAATTGTCCAACGCTTTTTGGGTCAAATCCAAGTCATACTGACGTGGCCATGGATACTTTAATCAATATAGATTTTGATTTGTGTTACACGAATATTTAAACTATATAATATATAGATGTTTGTTCATTTCCATTTGATATTTTGTTTTTGTTACTTATTTCCATTAATAATATTTCGATTTGCATGTTATAAAGGAGGAGAGATCCGAAAGAAACATAATATATAGTTTTTTTTAATAAGTAAAGTAAGATTAGGGAAATGTACTAAACTTATCAGTTTTGGATAAGAATCTATCAAAAGTTCAAGTTGCACATTTTTGTGGGTCCTTTCTGATTTTGCATATATTAGTAAACTTGTGTGAAATCTCTTTCAGATATGATGGGGATCAAAACACTTGTTGAATGTTTCATATTCTCTCTTTATTTTTTGCCACAAAAAATTAATATAATGCAATAATTTCATGAATATAGGTAAGTCTAACAAAATAATCAAAAATGTAATCTCAGACAAAACCGATACAAAAATTACATTACACAATAATTTCATGAATGTTGATAGGTCTAAAAAGACAACCAAACTATAAACCCGAACCAAACTGATCAAAAATAATTAGTTAAATTTTGTGCTATTAGTTAAATCGATCCAAAAGATATCTAAAAATAACCAAAATTACAAATATGTATTCCGATGATAATTTTGAGTAGTGTGACTATTTTAGAATAAACTTGGGTATAAATTAGCCAATAATTTATAGCTTTTTTTAACTTACGCATTTTCAAATAGTTCTCGTATATTATGGTATATTTGGACAAAAGTAACCAATTGTAACCATATTCGATAAATATTTGGGTTTTAAACAGCTTTTCAATTAAATATCCAAACCTAGTTGGAATTGATATAAATCAACCTGGCAACCAAACCAAAATTCTTTGGGTCGTAATTCATACTCGAACCTAAACATAATAATCAAGTTAAATGTCGAGCAACATGTAAATTTTTATAATTATAATGAATGTTTTTCTCTAAATTAAATTATATTAGAAAGAAAAAAATACATATTGGAAAATAAGGACTAAGACTGTCTAAATTGTTTGGTCCTTACAAAATAAGTTGACCAGTTATAAATCTGGAGGACAAGCTTTCTCTCTTGGACTAGCTCAATCGTGAAATTAGTTGGTTTAACTCAATTATTGTTAGTCTACACTATAATTATACTAATCAAAACCATCAGAAATTATTAAATAATAATACCATGCATTGTAGGATGTTGTAGACTTTTCCACGTGAGGTCGATAGACAAATTTTGTTTTATTTCCATTTAAAAATGTCTTTTTATTTCTTTTGAGAAACTAGTTCTACTTTTATGGATTTTTTGTGTCGTTTATAAATTTGGTTGTATGTTTGATGGATTTGTTATTTTTATACAATACAGAAAATTTTTGAAAAAATTGCCGAAAAAGATGTGCAGTTCGCATGGTGGGATGTGTTAATGGGTCTATTGAAACGTGATGGTTCATTCACCTATAGCCCCATTTTCTTAGCAAGGCTACATGAACCACATGAAATATTTATATTTTGTTCATGTTTTTGTCGCCAAATATTTGGACAGTTTAAATAATAATTAGTAGTATTCATATTTTTTTGTGGCAATGTCTTAGATTATTATGACTCTCGTCCACATTTTCTTAGAACGTAATATTTAAGGGATTTTCTTAAATATCAACAAAATGTCTCATCTAGTAAAAATCAATCAAGATGTAATAATTAGGTAATTAATAGACTAATTCCATAAATGTCCAATTCTAATGGAATATCAAACTTTATAAGTGGTAATCCGGGGTTGGCAACAGCAGGCGGTGTATTACGGGATGCGGACGAGAATTGGTATGGTGGTTTCTCCTTTAATATTGAGATTTGTACGGCTCCATTAGCAGAATTGTGGGGAGTCATTTATGGTCTCTATATGGCTTGGGAGAAAGGTATTACATGGTTAGAGTTGGAGGTGGAGTCGGAATTGGTGGTCGGTTTTCTAACAACGGGGATCAAGGACTCTCACCCGTTGTCATTCCTAGTACAGATGTGCTATGACTTCTTATCAAAGGATTGGATAGTCCGTATCTCTCACGTGTATAAGGAGTCTAAACGTCTGACGGATGGATTAGCAAACTATGCGTTTTCTTTGTCCTTGGGCTATCATAGGTTTATGGCTTGTCCGGAGGATGTTAGTTCTGTTTTATTTGAGGATGTTATCGGGTTTGCGCACCCACGTTTTGTTAGTGTGTAGTTTTTGTTCTTTGTTTTTCAATAATACTAGGGGTTTCCCCTCTCTTCCACCCAAAAAAAAAATGTGTTTTTACTTATTATACATAATGGAATATTTCACAAAAGTTGTTCTTAGAATTCCTCAATGTAAGTTTT